CAGAAGGATCCAGGGATGCAGGAGCCACAAATGAGGATTGGGGCTGCCCCTATCCCTTCCTACCCCATTCTGTCCCACCCCAGAGAGATCCAGGAGCCATGAATGAAGGTTGGGATTGGGCTCTGTCCCCATCCCATCACTCACTTCCCACCCCATCTTTTCCCATCCCATTCCAGGGATGCAGGAGCCACGAATGAGGGTTGGGGCTGCCCCTATCCCTTCCCACCCCATCCTGTCCCACCCCAGGGCTGCAGAGGCACCGCTGGGCGGAGCTGCAGCTCCCGGGCAGCTCCAATCCCATCCCATCCCATCCCATCCGGGGGAGGAACTGCAGCAACGCGCTCGGATTCCTCTAAAAAAGCCCTGCACGACTCACCCCCCTCCGCCTCGGCCTCGGCTCCGAGGTGGGAGATCCACGAAAAAAATAATAAAAATAATAATCCTTGCCTCTGGAGGGGAGGAGGGAGCTGAGGCAGAGCTGGGAATGCTCCAGGGGCAGGGAGGGATGAGTGGAGAACGATCCCGAGGGTCAGGCAGGCACAGGACATGGGATTGGGGTGCTCCAGCACCCCAGATCTTTTCCTGGAGGGGAGTTTTCCCTCTGGAGGGGGGAGTTTTCCCTCTGGAGGGGGGGTTTTCCCTCTGGAGCAGGTTTTCCCTTGGATCAGGGGCTGGGAAAGTGCGAGGCCGCTGTCCCAGGGTCCATTTCACACACACAAACACACACGTGTAGGATGCTCCCACCCCCGAGGAGCAGGAAGGGATGAACCACGGGCTATAAATACTCGCCCAGGGCCGAAGGGAAGAGCCAGGAGCTGCCCAGGGGTCTGGCAGGGCTGGCAGAGCCCCTGGGGAAGGCGCTGGGAGCACTTGGGGGTTATTAATAGCTCGGCATTCCTTCCACGGCGGAGGCGGTGCCGGCACAAGCACAAGGACAAGGAAACTCTTTTCTTCCCCAGCCCCATCACGGGGGGGTTTGTTATCCATCCCCCTGCCCCAAAACCGTGCTGGGCACCGGATCCAGGGGAGGAAAACACCCCTGGGGGGGAGGAAAACACCCCTGGGCACAACAGGGTGGGCACAATCTGCTCTTGGAGCTTCCCAAACCTTTTCCCAAAGCGTTTGGCTGCGCTCAGGGGGAGGGGAAGGGGCCGTGGGAGGGGAGGGGAGGGGAGAGGAGGGGGCAGCAGCGCTGCAGCACAGCCGAGGGATGGATGGATGGATGGATGAATGAATGGAGCCTTTGTGCTGCTGCGGCAGCGCTGTTACCACGCCAACCCTCGGCGGAGGAAGGAACGGAGCCAGCTCAGCTCCCGTTCCCGTTCCCGCCCTGTCCCGGTCCCTCCGTGACACCGGCAAGGACAGGCAGCTCCACAAATAGCTCCGGAGCTGGGGCAGCTCGTTTTCCTCACGGTGAGGGAGGATTTTGGGGGGTCTGGAGCAGGGAATTGCCCTCCGGCACAAAAGTTGACTCAAAGTGGGTTTGGTCAGCAAGGAGGATTAAAAACTCCTCTCACCCCATCCTGCACTCAGAACTGAAACCCCTGAGAGAGACCTGAAATAAGGAAGAGCTTCCCAAAGTCTCACTGAGGGAAAGGAGGGAGATTTTGGAGGAGTTTAACCCCTCGCTTGCCAAACCTGAGTCCCTTCAGGGGCCCCTTGTGTGGCTGCTGGGATGCTGGAGCAGAGCCTTGGGCTGTGCTGGGGATGGGGCTCAGCTGCCTCACCCAGGAACTGCCTTTTACCTTCAGATCCGTGTTGAGAATCCAGATGAAGGTGCAGACCTTGGCATTGCTGGGACATTTCAGCACGATGAATCCTCCAGGTCCATTCTCACCCCTGTGCAGGAAAAGCCGAGAGGGTCGGGCTGGAATTGTGCCTGGCATTCTCTGTGGATGCACCACATGGAGCTGAGCCTGGCAGCAAAACCCAGAGCCCAGAGGGGCAGGAGCAGATGCTGGGAGCCTGGGAAGGTGTGTGCCTTGGCTCCAGGTGCATGAGCCAGCACGGCAGGGCAGCTTTCCCACAGGTGCCTTGGCAGTGCCCGTGCCAGGGCTGCTGGTGGAGCAGCAGCTCTGCCTCTGCACTGTGCCAGCTGCTCCTCATGGGAAGCTTTCCCAAGAGGTCCCAAGAAGCTCTGTGTGCTCAGGACAGGCTCAGCTCTTGTCACTCCAGCCCCCAGATCTTTCTCAGCACCATCTGATCTGTCTCTGAGACGGGAGCTGTGCACACACAGCCCAAATACAGATTTCCCTTCCCTCTTCAGAACACTCTATTTTTGCTGTGTGCCTTCCTTAAAGGATTTTTCCAGGCCCTGAAGTCCCCCAGTTCCTAAATAGACTCAGGCAGCTCCAACAGCTCTGAGATAAAATGTCAATTACTTTAACCAGATTATTGAGAAAACCGAAGTCAGAGTGTGCAGCAGCACAGCTGGGCCCTGGCAGGAACAAGGAGTCCTTGTCTGATGAGCCTGACCCTGCTGGGATCCATCACCAGCCTTTCCCTTTGGAGGGGGAGAGACCAAAGCCCTGCTGAGATTTTGGGAGCTGCTCCATCCTCCTTTCATCCCTCAATGCCTCAAATTCAGTTTATGAGGAGCAAAAGGCATTTGAGAGGCTCAGAGCCACATCCAGCTGTTTACTGCCCCTCAGAAAATCCTGTTTGGGAATTAAGTGTTACATAAACAGGATGTGGGACTGGGAGAGAGTTTGTTACTGGTCAGCACCTCCACTCCCCTGAGCTGGGAAACGCCCCAGCAGCGCTGACAGCACAGAGAGTTTCTCAAACAAAGGGAGACGAACAAGGGAAGCGAGGTTCAGGCTTCACAAATAGCTCAGCTTCCTGCAAATCCTGCCAGCAAGGCAGCAGGGCTTGCAGTGAAGCTTGGAGCTCTGGAGAAATGCGTGATCCCAGCTGAAAAAGCAGCACCTGCCTCTCACCTGACGTACTTGGAGAGCGGAGGCTTCAGGCTGTGCGTGGTCGACATCCCTGAGGACACGTACCTGTCCCTCCTCCTCTCGATCCGACGCACGTTCACGAAATCCCTGAGCAAAGAGAGGCCTCAAAAACACACCAGGGATGTGGAGGGTGGGGGCAGATCCCTCTCTTTGGGCTGCTGGGAGAGGCTGTGGCAGGGCTGTGTCAACACAGGGAGGCACAGCCAAGATATCTGGGAGCCTGACCGAGTGAGGTTTGCAGCTTTGAAAATGCTGCCAGGAGGAAATTTCAGGGGCTTGTCCACCCTTGGGAGCGTTACCTGCACGGCCAACCAGCCCTACCACGGTGATCCAGCAGCTCAGAGCATTCCCAGAGGGGTCTCCCCGTGGTTTGGGGGGTGTTTAGGGGCAGTGTGGGATGAACTGACCTTGGGGACACCACCCCGCCAGCAGCTCCGGCCGCCACGTCGTACGAGACGATCGTGTTGTCCTCAACCCGCTGCAAGATCTGGAGAAAGGCAGAGGAAACAAATGAAAAGAAGGGAGATTTTGCTGAGATTGTGCCTCCAAGCCTGCACACCAAGAGGATACAGCCCCCGCCACAAATCAGCACTAGGATTGGATCTTTAGGGGCAGAAGGCGACGAGTGGTGCATGTGTGGATTCATCTCCTCACTCCACAAGGACCCCCAGCAGGTCTGGCTCAGCCTGGGCCTCTGTCCCTGCCCACCTCTCTCAAAAGAAGGGAGATTTGCTCAGATTGTGCCTCCAAGCCTGCACACCAAGAGGCCACAGCTCCTCCCCTAAATCAGCACCAATCTTTTGGACCAGAGCAACAAGCGGTTTGTGTGCGGGTTCATCTCCTGAGTTTTTGAGGGGCACAGGTGTCACCTCCAGCTCCTCTCCACAAGGCTCAGACCCCCCCTCAGCAGGTCTGGCTCAGCTTGGGACCCCGTCCCTGCCCACCTCTCTCAAAAGAAGGGAGATTTGCTCAGATTGTGCCTCCAAGCCTGCACATGCCAAAAAGATACAGCCCCTCCCTTAAATCAGCACCAATCTTTTGGACCAGGGAAGCAGTTTGTGCGTGGGTTCATTTCCCGAGTTTTTGGGGGGCACAGGTGTCACCTCCAGCTCCTTCCACAAGGCTCAGACCTCCCCTCAGCAGGTCTGGCTCAGCCCTGGCCCCCGTCCCTGCCCACCTCTCTCAAAAGAAGGGAGATTTGCTCAGATTGTGCCTCCAAGCCTGCACACCAAGAGGATACAGCCCTAAATCAGCACCGATCTTTTGGGCCGAGCTGTGGGTGCATGGGTTCATCTCCTGAGTTNCCCATAGAAACCCTTGGAGACCCCCACGAGAACCCCTGGAGATCCCCATGAGACCCCTGGAGACCCCCAAAGGAACCCCTGGAGACCCCCATGTGCCTCCCCACCCCATGGGAGAACCCCCATATCCCACCTCAGCCCCACAGGAACCCCTGGAGACCCCCATGGGGACCCCCATGTTCTCCTCACCCTTTATGGAATCCCGGCCTCCCCCAGCCCCATAAACCCCCCCCAATTTCTTCACAAGAACCCCTGAGATCTTCCCAACCCCACTTGGGTACCCCCCAGCACCTCCCCTGACCGCACAGGGACCCTCGGAGACCCCAAAATCCCCTGGGAACCTCCTGATTTGGGACACAAGACCCCATGGGGACAACCAAGTTTGGGATTCGGGCTGCACAAAACCCCAATGGAGTCTCTACAGCCCCAAATCCCCATGGAAACCCCATATTTTGGAACCACCCCACAACTCCAATGGAAACCCCACATTTCAGAATCCCACAAAATCCCCACAAAAAGCCCCCCAAATCCTCCAACACCCAGTGCCCCCCATACCCCTGCCAGCCCCTGGGACCCTCTAGGACTTTTGGATCTGCTCAAGTTTGGGACCCTTGGGCTGCCCAAAACCCCATATTTTGGGACCCTTGGAGCCCCTCAAACCCTCATGGAAACCCCACATTTCAGAACCCCACAACCCAAATCCTTACAACAAACCCCCCAAATCCTCCAGCACCTGATGCCCCCTGTGCCCCCAGCACCCCTGGGACCCCTCAGATCCCTGGCACCCCCTGGGACCCCCTGGAATTCTTGGGTCTACCCAAGTTTGGGACCTTTGGGCTGCTCAAACCCCCATATTTTGGAACCCTTGGAGCCCACCACAACCCCATGGAAACCCCACATTTCAGAACCCCACAACCCAAATCCTCACAACAAACCCCCCAAATCCTCCAGCACCCAGTGCCCCCCATGCCCCCATACCCCTGGCACCCCCTGGGACCCCCTAGGACTTTTGGATCTACTCAAGTTTGGGACCCTTGGGCTGCCCAAAACTCCACATTTTGGGACCCTTGGAGCCCCTCGAGACCCTATGGAGACCCCATAATTTTGGAACGACCCCACAGACTCATGGAAACCTCATATTTTGGGACCCTTGGAGCCCCTCAAACCCTCATGGAAACCCCACATTTCAGAACCCCACAACCCAAATCCTCACAAAAAGCNGCGCACGGATGAGCGGCGCAGATTTAACGCCTCGGTGCCTGGGATCCAGCTCGGCTCCAGCCCTGCCAGCAGCCTGTGCTGGAAGGGGAAGCTCCAGCTCTCAACGCTCCAAGGAGCTCCTGTGATTAAGCCATCTTTGTCCAGCACGCTCACCTGGCAAGCTGCCACTGTTCTGTTCCACAGGATCATCTTCTCGGGCTGCAGAATCACCTCCTGGTAAACCATTTCAGGGGAGCACTGCAGGAAAGCCTGAGGACACAGGGAGAGCAGTCAGCCAGCCCCTCTGCTCCCCTTGGGGGGGTTATTTTTAAGGAGAACAGGGTAAAACACAAAGGACAAGTGGGAATGCAGGTGAGGGGAGGGGTGAGGGCAGCCTGGCTCCCCTGCATGCAAAGCCATGGCTGTCACCTCTCTGTCCCAGAGCTCCCAGGGGAGCACACATGAGGTCAGAGAGGACACACAGACCTCAGGATTTGGCAGTCACTGAGCTCTGCCTGTCTCTCTGCCTGTCTCCCATCCTCATCAGCTCCCCATTGCTTCGTGAAGTTGCAGTTTTGACTGTTTTGTTTTTTTTCCCCCAAGCCATTCCAAGCTCCAGCACGCACAGCATCCATTCCATTCCCCCCCGATCCCCACGGGAGCAGGGGATCTTCAGAGGCAAACAGCTCATGCAGCAAAGTGGGACCATCCAGCTTTTGCTGGTGAGCACAGAGCTGCTCCACTGGCAGCTCCTGCCAGCGAGGCAACATATGCACTGGAACAAAGAAAAGCCACGGCAGCACCGACGCTTCATTAAAACGTGGTTCCCAGCCAAGGCACTCCAGCCTGGGAGAGGGCACAGAGCAAGGCACTTCTGAGCTGCTCTGCCCGGTGCCAGGCAGCAGCAGAGGCACACTCAGCCCTGGCCTTGCTGGCAATTAGTTCCAATTAGCCTCCTTGGTCAGATTAGTCCGAGATGCTGAGGTTGGAAGCGAGTCTTGCAGTCACCTGCTCCCGATTCTACCAGTGCAGTCTGGGGCCTTGGATATTTACTGGGGAGTTTGTCTGCTGGCCAAGGGGTTTTCCTGGAGAGATTCCCCAGTGTTGTTCATCTGTCTCAAGCACAGGGAGTGTGTTCTGCAGCCTGAGCTGTGCTGAAAGCTGAGCTGTGCCTCTCCCCCCGTGCCAAAGAGAGCAAGGAATGGGCCCTAGGATGTTCTTACCTTTAAAATAAAGGTCTTGCCGTGGAAAGGGATTTCAAAAGTGTAAACAACATCACCAAAGTCCTGTGCAAGAGATGAGAAAGTTGTGGTTTTATCAGTAAAAAGGGATTGTGTCTGTTTAGGGTGAAGTTTGAGGCTCCTGTCACCCCCTGCTCCCCACACCAAGCAGCACAGAAACCACCCCGGGCACATTTCACTTGGCCGTGCCTAAATTTCCATCAACAAAACAATATCCAGAGAGGCAGCAGGGATGAGACAGAAAAAGAATCCACCCCGTGCCAGGCTGCAAACCCCACGTCAAGGTCACATTCTCTTTGTAGCAGCACTGGGGTGCAAAAAGGGAGTTTTGCTGCCAGAGCTGCTGGTGTTACCTATGGCTGAGAGGAGCCTCCCTGGAGGGGCTGGGCAGATGAAAACCTTTCATCGTTAGCCCTGTGTTAAACTCTGATTAGTCTATTTAAATCCATCCCCCTTTGGAAAAAGAAAACAATCTGCCCAGCTAGTTTGGCATCAGACAAAGGATCACTTGACAGGGGAATTTGAAACAGCAGATGAGACAGCAGTTTGCAGGATTCACACCCCCCAGTTGTCTCTGAACTTTGTGAAACAAGGTTGGGTTTGGGGGGCAAACCCTTCCTCTTTCTCTCCACTCTTCAGGGAGAAAAAAGAGCTCTGTGCACCCCAGAAAAGTCTGGAGTTGGCAGAGCCACATCCCAAATTTACACCGCAGGTTCCAGGTGAGGGGAAGGTGAACACCAGTGGCTTTGGAGTGCCCCACATGGGCCAAATCTCCAGTTTGGGCCCCCAGCAGGCTCAAAAGATTCCAATTTGGGCCCCCAGCAGGCTCAAAGGCACCTGGCCATGGAGCAAGGGCAGGATTTGAGCTGTAGGACCAACATTGCCCTGCTCTGCATCCCAAAGGTGACCTGGCCACCCCTGCCCACCCTCTGGACAGAGGGAGGAGGGAAAGGCCCTCTCCTGTCAAACTGCAAGGCAATTAAAGGTCTAATTAAATAAGAGGGGGATTTTACATTTAACTGAACTGGAATAGATTCCTAATTCAATCAGGTAATTGTAACGCTTGTTAATTTTTCATGGCACAAGGAGGTTTCCAAAGCCTCGTTTGTCCTGGTTTTTGCTAAGCCATCCATGCCCTCTGCCAGCTGGGGAGGGAAAAAAAACACCACACTTGCATTGTTTTTCTCAAACTTCCAGTTCTCCTCCTGAGCGAGGATTTGGTCCACAACCTCCATGGCCTCTTTGCCTTGTCGGACATACTCCTTTTCCTGAGGAAAAAAAGAAGATTTTACCTTTAGATTTCATTAGCTGGGCGTGCAGGAAGATTGAGGAGTGTGTGTGTGAGGCTGCTCCCCCCTCCCAGGGCTGGCAGAGGGAAAGGGGATCAGAAATCTCTTAATTTGGGTCACAGAGGCCTCATTTTGGAGCTCCAAGTCACGCTCCCCGCCCTGGCTGGGATCCACACACCAGCTGCTCCCGATGGCTCCTGCCTTACAGGAAGGTTTCCAGCAGGAAAAGGGCTCTGGGATGTGCAGCTTCCTTCCTGGAGGAGCCACAACAGGAGCAGGATCTCTTGGAAAAGGGCACAAAACTTGTGCCCAGCCAGGTTTTGGGGCAACACCTCAAGCCAAGGGGACAGGTGAGGTGATGCCCATCCCAGAATGACCAAAGGACCAGGGATGGAAGGGGAAGGGACAGACAGAACAG